CCAATACTGCCAAGTGGGCAATTTCTGTGAGTGTGCGCGCGTGTGTTTGTGTTTCATAAGAAATATACAAATAAATGAATTTATTATTATTTTACAGAATATTCAAATGTGTTTTATAATGTCATTTTTAGATAAATTATTATAATCTAAAACAGCTATTGCATTTATTTATTATTATTTATTTATTATTATTATTTTTTTTTTGTTCTTTCCCTTAATATTCAATATAGTTTATACGATAAGATAGTTAAGATAAAAATCGTTATACAATAAAAAGAAATATATACAAAAAAAGAACGCGGAGACTCGCAGAAGACCTTCAGGTCTTATCATCGAGAACCGTTTGTGAATATTAAGTCAGGGTTTACCTGATATTTTTGCCAGTTATGCCGGATATTTTGATAGTTAAGCCGGATATTGAACTTTTCTAAAGTTCTATAAGTGTTTATGAAGAAAAAACAAGTCTTGCCATTCTACATTAAATAGTGTTCAAGATTTAAAAAAAAATCAAAAAAATAAAATAATATCGTAGTAAAAATTAGTAATAACTAGCGAGAACGTAAATTTCGTAATAATATATAAATAAAATTAAAGAAATTTTTGAAATAAAAAAACATGTCTTCAAAAGATAAAACAACTTCTTTTAGTTTTTTCTTGAATGAAAGATAATTACATTCATAGGAAAAATCGAAATTTTTTAAAACTATTTTGTTCCAAAGAAAAGCTCCTCGATATGAAATACATGACTTTTCAAAATTAGTTAAAGATAAAGGTTGCCGAATTAGATTATCATTTCTTAAGTTATATTTATTTTCATCTTTTAAGGTATATAGATTATGAAAAGAAACTGGAGATTCGTTGGTTTTACACTTGAACATAAAACAAAGTTTATTTATAACATTTACCTTTTATAAAGATGATTTAAAATGGAATATTTCACTTTCTATTCAAAATTTTATACGCAATCAGAGGCGATTCTACGAATAAAATTAAGGAGAGTGAGTCCTTAAAAAGTACAGACTGGTTCTTTAAAAAAAGGTCCCCAAAACTAAAATTCACCCGACTGGTCTTTGTCAAATCCCCGACTAGGCAACTAAATTCATTAAAAAAGCAACCATAACTTGAAAGTCACTTTCTTTGGGGAGAGAGGGTGAAATATTTCCCCCTCCCCTTTCCCATCTTCATGTTTTCTTGACTCATATAATCAACAAATTTTCAAGTCTTCTGTCAACGGTTTTCTCGTTCTTTTACTCTATTTTTTCTTTCCTAGTAACTCGTAACATCAAAGTGGTTGCTTCCAGCCTTGTTGGGAGTGAATTAGAATTAAAAAAAAAAGCTAGAAAAGTCAAAAAAAAATTTTTTTGCCCGTATAAATTTATTTAAACCCTAATACATGTAATATAGGCATAATTTGTAATACATATTGTATAGACAAAACTTAAACGTAATTCATATATAATATATAAATACATATATAATACATAATGTAAAGATCCTTTTTATTGAATTAGGCCTCTGATTTTTTTTTTTTTTTTTTTTTGAAGAAAAATACATAGCTTATACATAGCTTATACATAGGCTAATACATAGCTTCATCAGCTATGCAAACATTTCATAGGCAAGTACTCAAACATCAAAGCTTAAAAAACTGTATAGTTTGCAAAAACATGCTGGCATAATCATTTACTATAAAGATAGGCGTGAACACATTTATTATTCCGAGGCAGTTTATATGTATTTAATAGTTTTCATTTTTATTTAATTCAAACTTGTTATTAAAGCTTATAAGAAAGATTTGTAACTGTAACGATACATGAAAATTAAATGCTGATAGACATTTATTTCAAACACATTCATCATTTTTATGTCACTCATTAAAGGCTAAACCCTTAATGAGTTATTAAAAATCTTTCTTATAAGCTTTAATAACAAGTTTGAATTAAATAAAAATGAAAACTATAATCTTAAAGCAAATATGTTAAACACATATAAACTGCCTCGGATAATAAATAAATATTCAGAATATAGCATTTCATATCGAGGTCCTAAAGTATGGAATACCTTTCGAAAAGGATTCAAAGGTACGGTAAGTTCGTTAAGTTCATTCAAGATTATAAACAAAAAAAGAAATTTTTAAAATTTGAGAAACTCTTTTGGTTAATGTTACCATTCTACTTTTTGTTGTTGATGTTGTTGTTGTTGTTTAACAATTTTGTTGTTTGTTTAAATTTAACGAATGTTGTTGTTTAAAATAAACGAATTACGCATTTTATTACGACATTTATTACGATATTTAATTGAATTTTTATTGCGTATATATATTTTATGAAATTTTACTACGTATTACGTATTACGATATTTTATTGAAATTTTGTTAAAGGGGCTCTATGAAAAGATTGCGATGACGTACTGTCATCCTCATCTTCTTTGAGCACCTATCTGCTTTTACTTACTTTTTTTTATGAAGCACGAAGTTGTAAAATTCATATTTTATATTAAAACAGAAAAAAAAAAAACATTTGCCTTTTTTTGTAATACCAAAATTGAACCGAACAATCCGGTATTTATTTTCCGTAACAAGCGGTTACGAGTAATAACCGGGTTGCTATTGTATCCCCAGATACATAAAATTTTTCTGAATATTTTTTTAGACGTTTTTATAAATGACTTTTTTAAAAAACAAAGTTAATTATTAATTTGTTAATATCTTATCTTTTCCGTTCGATATCTTTGAAAGTTTTTACAGAATTCTTTTTTCATTTATACATTTATTTACAAAAAAGATAAGCGACAAGTTTTAAATTAAATACATTCTCTGTAAAGTTCTTGGATTGTAAAAAATCTAAAATTCTATTAATAATGCAAAGAGTTCAGAATTTAATCCAATCTCCGTTTCAGAAAAATTAAAAGTTGTTTTTTATGCTTGAGTTAGATTAATTAAAAGACAATTTGTTCTTTTGTTGATATTAGAAACTTTTAATTTCATTTTATCGTTAGTAAAGTAAACTCCATATTGTACTTATTATTAAATTAACATTTTTCATATTTGAAATGGAGTTAAATTTTTTACAATTTAAAATGTAAATACTATATCTTTTCAAGATATGACATTTTAGTAAAGCTAACATGCAAGCTAACTTTAGTTTTTTTACATCCTTTTACTAACTTGTCATATCTCCCAAAGATGATTAATATTAATGTGGTTTGTTGGAATGTTTTCAATGATAAATTTTCTTTGTTTTCAAGATGTTGAAGATTCCTCAGATGGAAGTTCAGATAATAAAACAATTTTTTAAATTTAAAGAATGTTAAAAGTAGTTTTGGGTATACCATAAATGATAAATTATCAGCTTCTAACTAAATCAAACACATGGTGGTATATTAAATATAATTAAATATTTATTGAAAAAGATTTAATTTCTGTAGTTAAGATTAGTTTTAAATTTCACTTTATTAGTTCCAACTATCATATATAAAATATTTTTATAGTAAATGTCATTCAATTTCATATATAACTTAATTTACATATCAAACTTTTGCACTATCTATAAGTTTATTTACCATATATGAATCATTATATGTATGTATATACTTTTAAATAATGTGTGTATATGTATACATACATGCATACATACATATATACATACAGAAATACATACATTACCAGTTTGAAATATATAATTTAGTTTTGGTTTTAAAATAACCAAAAGATCCTAAATAAAACTTGTAGGTTTTATTTAGGGTACAAATAATCTTAAAAATTAAAATCCTGCATTTGTATAATTTTAGAAAAAGATTTTCATGGAGACAGATATATATTTTTTTTATTTTTTCAGATATAAATTTTAAATAACATAGAAATACAACTTTTTTAGGCCACCAGTCCAAGATATGAGGCAAATAGAAGAAGACTTTTGTACTAAGTCTCAAAGTAAAATTAATTTTTATTTAAAGAAAAATTCAAATTTAAAGAAAATATATTTCATTTCAAAATTTATAAAAAATAAATAGTTAAGCTTCCCTTTCTTGCCCAAATAAAGTGATTTTAAATTTTAAACCATTTCTAAAGTGCATAAGAATTTTCGATGAAACTTCAAGTTTGTCTACAAACTTTGATTTGGCTGAAAAAATTGTTTAATTGGTTGTTTTCCTCTCATTTAGCCCTGGTTAAAAGTTCTATTAGCATCTATTATTTTATTGAGGACAAAGTGGAGTGTTAAAAGTTTAAAAATAAAATGGAAAAGAAATTGGATAAAAACAAAGATTTTGTTTTCATCATATCGTTTCTAAAAGGATACTAGCTCAAAATTGGCAATTGCCAAATAGAAGATTATATTGTCTTCAATGTAAGGTTAACATGCTACAAAAAGAAATCATTTTTTACATATATAAATTTTTATGATTACATAATTTCTTTTTAAAAGCATGAAAATTTCTTTTTCAAAGCATTATTTTTAATGTTTTGACTTTTTATTTTCACTTTTAGTGTTCAACATGTTTTGAGATATTTGGAAAAATAACATTTTATGAAAATCTCCATTAATCCATTTCAAATCAAAAACATTTTTTATTTTAATTAAAAGGCAAAGTTGTTTTTATCTTTCTTATGTAAAAAAAAAAGAAATTTTGTTGTTTTGATTTACAAAGTTTTAAATTGGTAAAAATTTTCTAATATCTGAATGTTTACATTTCATATATACATGACAAATATACTTGTGTCATATTTCATCAGTAGGTGATGTTTTAATCAGCTTTTACATATACTTTATTTTACTTATTTTTTTTGTTGGTTTGTTTTCTTTGTGTTTTGTTTTAATTGAACTTGTCTTTACCTTTATGTGTATTTGTTTATCTTTAATTTAATTTTTTTCAATGTTTATTTTTTTAAAGAAGTTTCAGCCATTTTGTTGGTTTGTATACTTCTATGTATAAATTTGTATAATAATAATGTATTTATTAAAAAATAATGACATTTTTGTTAATGATATTGTAGATATTTTTAGTCTACAAAACTAAATACAAAAAGTTCTAAAAAGAAAGTAAAGTCTAAAAGTAAAATTAAAAATGGATGCTTTTATTTAAAATATTTATGATTACAATTAAATATTGCGCTTATGATGAAAGAAGAAACTGTTTCTCCACTAAGTTACAATCATCATTCTTTTTTATCAGCTAATCTTTTAAAATTTCGACAATGTGGAGTTCTCTGTGATGTCACTTTACTCTGTGAAGATGCATTATTTCAAGTTCACAAAGTTGTACTTGCTGCCTCAAGTGCATATTTTCAAGCTATGTTTACTATAGGAATGTGCGAAGAAAAAAAAAGACAGGTTAGCTTTAATATGATGGTTTTTTCAAAACTATTTAACTTGTTTCTAAAGAATGACATTTTCAATAACATTGAAAAAGTAATTTAAAAAATTGTATTATGCAATTTAAAATTTTAAACAATTTTATAATTAAGATAGAATAAAAAGTTAAAAAGATTTGTTTTTTTTTTATAAATTATGTAATAAATTATGTTTAGAAAATAAAATATGTTTGAAAAGAATGTTAAAGAGTTGTCAAGAAAAATAGTATTAAAGTTGGGTTTTCAAGTAAAGTTTGTTCAAAAAAAGGAACAAGCAACAATCTAATTAAGTGATAAATGTCAACTTTTATTTAATTTGTTGTAGTTTAATCCCCTCCCCTTTTTATCTTTTTATCATTAGGATTTAATCCCCTCCCCTTCTTCATATTATTAGGATTTAATCCCCTCCCCTGCTTTATATAATTAGGATTTAATCCCCTCCCCTTCTTTATATCAATAGGATTTAATCCTCTCCCTTTCTCCATATCATTAGGATTAAATCACCTCCCCTTTTTCATATCATTAAGATTTAATCCCCTTCCTTCTTTATAACATTAGGATTTAATTAGTAGTTATAGTTAAAAGTTGATTTTTTTTTTATTAACATCGCAGTGAAAATATATTATTCAATAGTTAGATTTGTGTATTCAACTAAATCTTTTTTTTTTTTTTTTTTACATTTTATTTTTCTGAACTTATAAAAAATTAATAAAAATAAATTAAGTTTTAAAAGTTTGGTTGTAGAGAAAGTTTCTTTGGTAGTCGAGAAATTTTTTAAAAGTTTTTTATTTAGTAGTGGAGAAAGACTCAAAAGTTTTTCATTTGGTAGTAGAGAGTTTTTTGAATATGACTGTTACTTTTTTTTTTTTAATTTTTTTTTTTTTTTTTTGCATACAATGTTTTTTTTTCTAAATGTAAAGAAAATTTTTTTTTATTTTAAATTTTTTATTTTAAAATTCTTTTTAGCTGTTCTCTTTTATTGTAACAAAAAAGACATGTTTTCTTTTTGTACAACAAAAAAAGTTTTTTGTTCATTTTACATGAAAAATGTTGTCCCTATTGTGATACAAAGCATTTTTTTTTCACAATTTTTTTTCCACAATTAATGGTGACACTTCACAATCATTGGTAGCACACACTAGGTTTAAACCAATATTTATTATGATTAATGGTAAGGAATGCTGGAGTTCGAGAATGACAATGGCTTTAATTTTTCTTTTTTTCTGGTCTGTGGTGTTTCTAAAAATGTTAAGTGACATGTTAAGTGATTTGAAATAAGAAAAAAGTTCATGAGATTTTATGACTTAAAACCTACTGTTTTTAAGCCCAGAGTTAAAAAAAATCATGGAGTCCTTGTTGCCATTATACATAAAGGTTCTTAGTTTAAAAATTAATTGCACCTCTTACTAAAATATCTTAATTTTTTCCCCAAAAGTAAATCTAGGCCACTTTACATTTTTAAAGCTCCTAGCAGGGATGTGGAGTTGTAAAAAAATAGTAATGACTCCGACTCTAGTTGTTGAAGATTCGGATTCCAGATGTTGAACTTTTTTGAGTACAGTTCCTACTCCAGTTGTTGAAATTTTTTAAGTACAACTCCGACTCCAACTCCAAAGCAAAATTTTTGAAAAATTCTTTGAATTTTTTTAAAAATATAGCGTGACAAGTTGAAGTTTTTTTTTTTGACAAATTTATGCAATGTTCTTTGAGGTTTAGTATGAACATAAGGTTAATTGAATGTTTTGTACATGCACGTGCGATACCAAGAAATATTACTATCGGAGTCAGGTTCGTGATATTTATTAGGGACTCCGACTCTGCTAAAATTGTCGCAACTCTGACTTTGACTACAACTCCACAGCCCTGGCTCCTAGATACTAAAAACCTGGAAGAAATAATCTCTTTGTACTAATTTCTCTAAATAAAGCTTTGAAGCTACAGTAAAAAAGTATTTTTTGAACCCCCAGTATCTCTTAAATGGCAAACGTCATTGGTATCTTTTTATACAAATAATTCAAACAACTATCTTCTTTTTAAATTAAAAGGTTTCAATACTTTGATTCATCATACAATCTTATAAGTTGATAACACAAAATTTACTCTTCTGAGTTGATTTATTTTGCCAATTTTACATGAAAATATTTCAGATTTCCATTCAATCAATTATTACAAACTAATAACACTCACTTGATAGTTGAAATATTCAACTATCAAGTGAGTGTATTCAAAAAAAAAATTAAATTTTAAATTAAACTTAAATATAGTTATAATATAACCCTAATACTTCAAAAAAAATTGATATTTTAAACTCCAATAAGATTAATTTTACTGTTATTAAAAATAGTTATTATTGTTTTTATTTAATTATTTAGAGTTTCACGGTAATATACAAGGTTTTATACAAAACTTTTGGCGGACTTTTAAACGAAGCACCCCTATGAAATACTAATAATCGTGACCAAAACTGTCCCAATTCTTATGGTCAATTAATGAATGTATATTTCTTTTTATCAATCTCTAATGATTAGTCAAAGCATTTACACCTAATTCTTTAAAACGTGTTTTAAACTTAGAGGGGTGCTCTGTTTACAAATTCGCCGAACTTTTATTCTACAAGGGTTCAACTTGTCATTAAGTGTACAAGAGTTGTACTTGTAAAAGATTGTTTATTGACTTTCAAAAAAAGTGTGCTTGTCTTGATAGTTGAGGCTTTTCTTTGTAACAAGAATCAGTGCATGATTGTGACAAGAATCAGTGTTGTGTTTTTATGTAACAATTATCAATTACTTGACTGTATTGTAATGTAGCAACTATTAATTATAAGACTGTTGTTATGTAGAAGCTATCAATAATTAGTGGAATAATTAGTTTTCACTGTTTACGGAAAGATAAAATAAGAGGTTTTTAGTTATTTATTGAATATTTTAATGTTGTAAACAAGGAGACTTTTTACTTTCAAATAAAAGAGACATTTTTGGAATGTAAATACTTAACACATTTGTTTCAGCTGTTTTTATGGCGCTGCCCTGTCGCGTTTTATTAATTTTAGTAGTAGTTTTGTTTTGTTGGATGCTTTGGTTAAAAAAAGATTTTTCAAAAAATAACAAATTATATAAAAAAGCTTAAATTCTACTTTTTAAAAATATATAACAGTAATGTTGAAAATATGCAGAAAACACAAAAAAATGAAGTTTAAAAATGTTAATTTTTGTTTTTAAGAAATGCAAGTTGTTCCAATCTCTCCTTTTTTTTTTAATCAATAAAAAAGTGAACTTATGACATTCACTTAATGATGTGTCATAAATTAGCTATGTACCTTATCCACTTATTTAAAAATATGTTTATTATTTAATGTTTACCTTTTAATTATTAATTATGCAAATTAAAAATTTTAATTATTAAATATACAATTTATGCGAATATACAAATTTTACATATCAATTATACTTTTAATTTTTAATTATACAAATATTAAATCAAAAAATCTTGACACTACTATTTTTTTGGTATAAAAGTTACCTAACTTTTTAATGTTTTAAATTGTTAAATATTCTTATTAAATCCATTTGTTACAAAAAAACTGCATTTTTTTTTTAACTTTTGGACTTAATTGTTTTAATTATAGATTCCACTGAATGATGTGGATAAAAAAGCACTTTCTGTTTTGGTAGATTATGCTTACACTGGAATTATTTCTATTGATGATAGAAATGTTCAAGTTCTTCTTAAAACTGCTGATCTTCTTCAATTTTCAACAGCTAAAGCTTTATGTTGTAAATTTATAATGGACCAAATGAACTCTGAGAATTGTCTCGATTTATTACACTTAGCTGATGTTTATCACTGCAGTGATATTTCAGCTCTATCACAATTAATGTTTAATGAAAATTGGGAAAAAATAATAAAAACAGAAAGCTTTGTATTACTTAAGCTTGATATATTAATCAAGCTGTTATCATCTGACAATCTTCATGTAAATAAAGAAGCAGATGTGTTTTATATAATAGCTCAATGGGTAGAAAGTGACATTGAATCCAGGAAAAAATATTTATTTGGTTTACTAGAATATGTTAGGTGGGCATTCATATCTCCTAAAGATCTAAATAAAATGCGACAACACCCTCTGATGCTTGTTGATAAAGAATCTTTAAGTAAAATCGACAGTTATTTAATACTAAATGCCTTTCAAATCGAAAATTTTCATATGAGAGATTCATATATTGGATGGATGTATGTTCTTGGTGGGGAACAATCCTTTTTAATGGAAATGAAAACCTGTGAATTTTATAATAACCAATTAAAAGAATGGAATTATGGATTTTCTCTTAATGGGCCAAGAACCTCATTTGCTGCCATAACTCTCAAAAACCGTCTGTAAGTCTGTTTTTAATGATTTTTTTTTACAATAACTTGTTATGTTTAATCTATAAGCTTTTTTGTTAAAAGGTACTTCAGAGTGATTCCATGTCAGTGAGGCCATGTCACCATGCATCTTAGGTCATGTCATGATATATCAGAGATTTAGCTGATTTTTATACAGTTTAGAAGACTTAGTAAAATAATTATTCAATGAAAATTTTAGTCTTTAGCTCCCAGTAGATCCTAAAATACGGTTCTTTTACTTATAGCAGATATGAGGCAATCATAACTATCCCTAAAAATCATTTTCATCTGTTTTTTTTTTTTTTTTTTTTTTTACTTAAATGTTGATTGTTACTTTTTAGTTTAAATTAAAGTCTTAAAAAAATAGTAATAATAAATGAAAAAATAAATGACAAGATTATGCTAAAATTAAAAATGTACTAATGTACAGTTGTTGATACAGGTGTGTCATAAATTATGTTGGTACTAAACACTTAACTGATGGTTTGAATAGTTTTAAAAAATGATGCATAAATTTTTCCATAATTTCAGTATGCCAATTTCATTCAACATATCAATAAAATCTATTTCCACAGTATTCACCAAAATATTTATTTGTTAATTAGGTTGAGCTCTTAGAATACCAAAGAAAGAAAAAAGATACTTGTTACAATATCTTGATTTCTTTGTTTAATAATAAATGATATTTGTAAATTCTGGGTTAAATTGGTGACAGCTCCTAGTCCCAGGAATCATTCTACCTAGCTGACTTTATAGGAAATGTTTTTCTTTTTTAATCTAAAAAAAATGTCTTTAATAATGTTTATACATAAATCATTTTATTACAATTTAGTATCTAGTCATTTATATATTGATCATTTTACATTTCAAGTGTTATTACATGACCCCCTGAAATGAATTTTTTTTTTTAATGATTATCTATGAAAATGAAAACTTATTTTTAATTATTTTTTTTTTAATTTTTCAATATTATAATGCATTACCAAACCAGATTATTTTTGAACTTTTCAAATAAACTCTTATATTTTAATTTTATTTTATGGTTCCTCATCAACAATTATGAACCTTTGATTTTGCTTCTTTTACAAATTATTTTTTTACTTTAACATCTTCTATATAACAATCAAATCTCTTTAAATAATTTTTTTTTTACAATGAATTAGTTTCATTGAAATCACAAAAATTCATTTTTTGTGTAAAACTAACTACTAAATTACATTTAGGATTAAGCTAAGAATATGAAGCCAATAGTAATTAACTTAATGAAATAACTAAATCACCATGGTAGTAGAAAACTAAACTGATTAAGTTTGTTGATGTTAAAAATATTATTTTATTGCAATACCATAACAATGATGATATTAATAGGTTTTGAATGTTTTAAAAGTTCTGGTGTAATTTAATAGGTGATTTTTCCTATACTAGTATAATGTTAAGTGTTTTTTTGAGAATAGTTTGAGGGTTTTTTTTTTTTTTTTGAGAATAGTTTAACCCTGACTAGTAAGTGACTAGAGCCCCAACCCTGGTCCCGGCTAAAAATGAGACTTTTTGCAAACCCAGCCCAGCCCCTAACATAATTATAAGATTTAGCAGGGGTTGATAGCCGAGACTAAAAAAACAATTTATAATACTTTATATATTATAATTTTATACTTACACTTACTATTTATTAAATACTGAGATATTTTTATTTTTGATTTATTTATATTTTGATTGATTTGTATTTATATATTTTTAAACTCTAATTTACTTCCAAAAAAATTGCAAGCAACTGCTGTTAAGTTATAAGTTACTTTAAAATAGAGAATAGAGTTAAAAAGCTAGGAAATGGTTAACTGAAGACTTAAAAGTTGTAGGATATATAAAAAAAGAAAAATGTAAAGGTGTGTAAGAGTTATATAGTTTTTTTAGTGTGCAAAGAAAAAACTGGATTATTAAAAATTTTTATAGCATGAAGGGACAGATGCAACTTGTTGAATAAAAAGCCAAGTAAGAGTGAGTTTTGGTTTATCTTAATAGTAATGATAACTCGTTTGAACATTGACCATGATAGTATTTGTAGAAAAAAGAAAGAAATGCTACCTTACAACAATGGAAGAGTGATTCAAGCTTTTCAGATAAAGCAGGTCTAACTACATTTACAATGTGCTTTTAGACTTTGTCTGAGAGTCAGAGGGTTGTTATTTGTCATTATAAGAATGCCAACAGTATTGCAATATTTTTTTGCAATAAATAAATGATTTTTGTTTAGGGAAAAAGGTGGATTTTAAGTCCAGACTTAAAATCCACAAGCCACATCAAGTCTCAGGCTTTTACAGAAACAGATTAAACATCAGCTGATGTTTTTGAAAAAATATAAGAATATTGTATAGAAAAATATAGCATGAAAACTAAATAAATGAAAAAAATAAAAACAAAAAATAAATAAGAATTGTTGATATTGAAATTTTTGTCTGGTGTAATTAATCAACTATGTTGCAAAAAATGTTTACAATCAAAATTAAATATTTCAAAAAGTTTTTCCAAAAAAAAAGGAATCAGCTTAATGTTAAATATTTGCTGCTCTAACTACAATGAAAAAATTGAATTTTGAATTTTAATGACATGTTCTGGGAAAAAAACTTTTGATTTTAATAATAGAATTGTTTATTCAATGTGTGCATGAAAAAAGTTTACATCTTTAATGAACATTTCTGAACCTATGACTAAAAATAATTACAACAAAATTATTCAATCTGTTTCTGATTGTAATAAAATTGTTGCAAAAGAAACATTTTAGCATTTTAATCTGGAAAATAAAAATTTTTAAAAAAAAACTCTTTAAAAAAAAAAAAACTTTTATAAAATATTTTTCACATTTTTAAAAAATGTGAAAAATATTTTTTAAAAGTTGTTGTTTTATATTTTGAAAAATTTTTTATAAAATATATAATTTTTATAAAATATATATATGGTTTTTACAGAAACAGATTAAACATCAGCTGATGTTTTGAAAATTGTTTTTAAATTCCAGACTTAAAATCCACAAACCACTAAAAAACAAGTCTTAGACTTTTACAGAAACAGATTAAAAATCAGCTGCTTTTATTAAGCAACCAAAACGTGAAGACTTTTTGTCAAGACAAGAGTATAATGTTGAGTTGTCAACTAAAGTCACTTTAGATGTAAAATTTTCACGAAGATCGTTATTGTAGATAAGAAACAATACAGGAGCAAAGATGTGGAACGCTCTTCTTCAGTTCAAGTGATTTAAGAGAACCTTGTGGTACTCTTGAATCACTCGAACTGAAGAAGAGCGTAGGCCTTCAAGAATAGTTTTAGTTCTGCAGTTAAAAAGAAATGATTTAATAATCTCAAAAACTTTTTATGAAAACTTTTTATAACAGAGTGAAGAGTAATTGTAGGATAGTTGAAGAAGTCAAAGCATTTTCTAAAGTTTTTAATCATTAGAAACATTTATTTATTTCTTATTTACTTTTCAATAGTTTAGAAAAAATTGAAGTGAGTTCTGGAGAACACTTTCTTAAGATTATTATGGAAATCTAGTCTGAAGCACAAACTGTAGAAGTGTTAATGTAACATTAGGATTGGAAGCCAGAGTTATTTGGATGTTTAACAATGGGTTAATCTGTTTAACTGGTATGGCACGAAGAATATTGCCATTAGATTCAAGAGTCAAGTTAGAAAAAAAGTTCTTTCCAAATAACTCAGCCCTATTCTAGGGAGAAGTAAAAAAACTTATGAATTAGAGATTAAATGTTAGACTTACTTTAGTTAGACCTATGAATTAGAGATTAAATGTTAGACTTACTTTAGTTAGACCTATGAATTAGAGATTAAATGTTAGACTTATTTTAGTCAGACCTATGAATTAGAGATTAAATGTTAGACTTACTTTAGTTAGACCTATGAATAAGAGATTAAAGGTTAGGCTTACTTTAGTTAGACCTATAAATTAGAGATTAAATGTTAGACTTACTTTAGTTAGATCTATAAATTAGAGATTAAATGTTAGACTTACTTTAGTTAGACCTATAAATTAGAGATTAAATGTTAGACTTACTTTAGTTAGACCTATGAATTAGAGATTAAATGTTAGACTTACTTTAGTTAGACCTATAAATTAGAGATTAAATGTTAGACTTACTTTAGTTAGACCTATGAATTAGAGATTAAATGTTAGACTTACTTTAGTTAGACCTATGAATTAGAGATTAAATGTTAGACTTACTTTAGTTAGATCTATAAATTAGAGATTAAATGTTAGACTTACTTTAGTTAAAACTGTCAAAGACTTTTCAAAAATCTCTAGAACCTAAGATCTGAAAGATTTTAGGTAATAGATTTAGTAAATTGAGATAAGATGTAAGATTTAGTGAACTGAGAATAAAAGAACTTAACGTCAGACAGGACCTTTTTACATTAACCTCTTGCTATGATAAAATGACATTTGTTCTTAAAAGAGATGTTCTTGTAAAAAGATAAATAAAATGTTTACGGTTTAATAAAGCAACTGCCCAAGATAGTGAAAAAAATTCCTCAAGGCCGAGAAGGCCACGACAGACAAGGAGGCTGCTTATTAGTGGTTATATAACCCTCTCTCAACTCTATAACTCCGAAACACGAACCTTGACAAACAAGGCCGCTGCGCTCTAGATTGTTTATATTAGAGAAACAGCATAGAAGAGGAAGGCTAAAGTCTCATGCTGATCATGATGCTGATGATAATGATGATGCTGATGATAATGATGATTATATATGCATATATATACAAAATACAACATGAGTTTTGAATTAAAAATGTATACTTTAGGATGTATAAAGGTTTATGCAGCCCCAGTCACAAACTCGGTCCTGACCACGGCTATATTTTATCAAACCTGGCCCCAGCCCTGGTCATATTTCAACCCTGGTTGCTTACTAACCCTGACAAATGAAATAGTTTTTTAATACTGATAATAATTTTTATTTAATAAAACAATTGTTAACAAGTTCGTTAAAGTAATAATTACAATGATGATTTTAATAGATAATAAATTTCTTCTAAATTGAGGTAATGACAGATTGTTTTTTTGTTACTGATAATAGTTTTTATTTAATTAAATGTTAAAATGTTGTTAACATTTTAGCATTAGTAAATTTTACTAAGTTGTAAACTATTTACTTTAACAAATTATACTATGTAAAATTTTGTTAAAATCATTATTTTAGATAAAATAATGATGTTTTAAGACAGACCATCAAATATATGTAAAAAAAATGTGTAAAAAAAATTTTGATATCATTATGGATTTCTTGAACGTATGCAAAAAAAAAGTACATAAAAATTGTTTAAATTTATAATTTGGGGTTATTGATAATTTGTTACATTTCTGATCATTTCATTGGATTCCTTGCCTTAGAAAATTTCATTGGATTCCTCACCTCAGAAAATTTCATTGGATTCCTCGCCTCAGAAAATTTCATTGGATTCCTCGCCAAAGAAAATTTTTAAAATTGTGTGAAAATTTTTTCAAACCTCTAAATAATTATTAAAATTTTAAGAGGACAAGATAAATTCTTTGCACATTTTACTCTTTACACACAACCAGATCCTGAAATAAAACTATTGGATAGGAGTAGAGTTGCAAAAAAAACTGTTTTTTTTTAATTGTCTTTTTTTTTTTGCAAAAAAAACATGTTTGTTTTGTGTTTTTTATGGTTTTTTGTGTTTTTTAGATTAAAAAAAAATTATTTACTTTTATTTAATTTTTATTTTTATTATAAATGTAATATAATATATATTAATAACATGATATATGGTAAATATATAGTACATCATTTAAAAGATTTATTTTTAATTAATAACAGATTCTGTATTCTGGCTTTCTTGTTCATTAAGGTCTTCTTTTGTAAAGTCAAATTTGTATTCTTCAGAGTCGCTTGATAACTCTGACTCTAAACTCTGTGAAGTGCCATTGTCCAGAATATTATTTTGGCTTTGATTTAGACTTGTTGAAGATTTTGTATTACATTTTTGATTTTCAAGTTGTAAATTATGTGATATAAATACTAATTTTGAAGCTCTGTCATTTGTTAATCTATTCCGTTTTTGATTGTGGATCCAAGATTGTCTACTAAATGATCTTTCGACTGCAGCACTTGTTGGTGGAAGCAATAAAATTTTACTTGCGATATTTGATAGTATTGGAGCACAAGAACAACATATTCCTTTCCACCAACTTACAGGAGATGAATGTTTTACTGAAGCCCATATAAAAGGTTTTGCAAAAAGTCCTTCGTTCGATCTATAATCAGCTATCTCACCCAAAATTTTGTCATCACATTAGTGAATCCACGTTATAAAGGATGTCATATCTCTGGAGATGAAATGGTGAGTTTTTTCAAAATTTAATTCTCATTTGAATTAATTGGATAAAAAAATTTTTTATTTAAAATGAATAAAGATGCCAAAAATGGATCCTTCTTTAATAGAAGGATCCATTTTTCCTAATTTATGTAGCGTTTCAATGGCATCAATCTAAAACAGATGTTTTAAATATGGCATCTTAATTCATTTTAAATAAAAAAATTTTTTATCCAATTAATTCAAATGAGGATTAAATTTTGAAAAAACTCACCATTTCATCTCCAGAGATATGACATCCTTTATAACGTGGATCCACTAAATTTGCAGCAAGATGAATGTTTCAAATGTGAAATTTCCTTCTTTTGACAATTATTTCCATCATGGCATTTTCCTCGCTTTTTAGAATTGGACTGCAAAGAATATTGTCCTGAAAAGATTTTTCTAAATCTGAAAAGGTTTTTGCAACAATGGAGAGACTTAATTTATCTCCTTCAACTGCTGAAATGGCTATGGCTATTGGTTTTAATAACTTGATAAACCCATCCACTTTATCCCAGAAGACTTCGGACAACAATAGGTTTTGAATAGGCTTAGCAAGGGATTTTGCTTCATCGTCTATAGCTAATCCCCGCAGTGCTAATCTGTTGTTATGAAGACTTTCCATGCAATGTATAATTGAAGCCCATCTGAAGAATATATTTATTTATAATTAAATATTTATCTGCCTAATGTTTTGTCCATATTAAGTATTAAAATTCATTTTGATTTATGTAATATAAATAATTTGTATGACAATTTTTAATTTTATTATAAATTTAATTTTTAACAAACCTAGTTGTAACTGGAAGTTTTAGTGATTGTTGAATGATTTGTCCAGATTTCTGCTGATGTTGTTTTAACAAAGCTGATAAAATTTGAGAGCTCTTTATCTCTTTTACCACTATGTGCAATTTCTTTGGGAAGTTGCTATTGATTTCAAGTTACTTGCATCAGTAAAAATTAAATTTAAGGTATGTGCCAGGCATCCATAAGGATATATGTGAGGAAATTCAGTAATTATTAGTTGCCATGCTTTTTTCATATTGGGTGCATTGTCAGTACAAACACCAAGAACTTTCATAGGTCCAACATCTAATATTATTTTTTTAACTATATTTGCCATATATTTGCCAGTATGACGTTCTGCACCTCAATAAAGAGTTAAACGGTGTTTAATAAGTATAATAAACTATAAAAATTTAAATATTTTGAAAAACTTTACTACTTTGGAGAATATAAAATAAAATATGATAACTAAAATTAATCTAAAAAGACTATCTGTTTCTATGCTGGTCCAAAATATAGGTTGAGGTACCGTTACAACAAAATTAACGATTCCTTCATTCCTGTAAATAGTAAAATCTATCTTTATTATTGATTTTTATTATTTATGAATTATACACATGAAGTTAGAATGCACCTACACTATATATGTGTAGCTTACATTGTTACATAATTTTGTTATATAACGTTTAAAAGTATCTAGAGATTGGATACTCCTATACTAGTGCACAAATCACTAGATAAATAGTCCTATTATTTTAAATTATATTTTCCTTGCCTGATGTTGCTCCATCCATCACACAAAATTGCTACACTTAAAGCATTTCCCACAAGTTCCTTAACGGTAGTTGAGGTTTCATTATATACCCTTTCAAGTAGGGAATTAGACAACATATCACGGTTAGGTAATTTAAATGCAGGTCTCAATTTTGCAAAACTGTCTATCCATAATTTATTTTCAAAAACTTTCAATGAGCATCCATTACCATGACAGCGCGTGCTAAATCCATTTGCGATTCATCCTGTAATAATATGAAATTTACAAAAATTGTTATATTACTTATATACTGAATAAAGTTTGCTAAATATTTAAAAGTATTAAATATTCATAATATCTAAATATAATACTTACTAGTTGTTCATTAGTCATTTTGTCTGAGAAAATGTAGGATGCAATTTTATTTTTCTGAGTTGTGAATGGAACTCTTGTTGAAGAATACAATCATTTTAAGGGAGGCTTATCTGATTTGGTTTTATTTGCCTTACAGTCTCCAAACTTAGGGGTTGTAGACCTACTTTGGTTTCCAAAACAGCTTGGTGTTGGAAAGAAAGACTCAATTGGAACTTGTGGAATAGCAGATGATAAACATATTTTTTTCTCTTTTTTCATATCTTGAATAGGTAAGTTTTCAGGAATATCTTCTTCCATCATTAGTTCAGTTTGAACTTTCTTCTGTTTAAAAGGCATATCGTTCAAATATTTGTTTTTTATTTGATCGCCACATTTCATACATTTTGCAATGTGTTCAGTCATTCGAGTGCCAATTTTTGATAGCTTTAAGCTGCAAAATTTGCATATAACTTGTTGAATTTTAGAACCTCCAGATTCTAAAGGTGCCTCATTGAACAATGTAGCTACAAAACATTTCTTTCTGCCTGGCATATTTTTTTTTAGATTTCTTTTTTTTTTTTTAATTAATAATAATTTATAGATTACAAATTGTTTAATATAAATGTTTTTTCATTAGACAAAGTTAATCATTGTGTTATTTTTATTTACTTGAATATTGTTTGAATAAATAAAATTTTAGCTATCTAATTGCAATTTAAAATAAAATAAACAAATTAAATATTAAAAATTTAAAAAAGTAATATACAAAAGTAAATAAAACATTAAAGTAAATTTTATTTAACAGTTGGTTCATTTTTGTATTTTGCAATGCAGTGTTATTTCATTCATTTTTATGAATAAATTAACACTGCTAAAATAACATTTTTATTTCCTTCATTCAGTAGTATTATACTTACAATCAACTAGTAGCTAATAGTATAGTTTTTTTGAGATTTATTTAAAAAATTACTTTTTTAAATATTTAATACTGTTTTTTTTTAATATTGGTGATTAGTTTGTAACAGCTATTATATAAGTTAATATGCATTTTATTAAATAGAAAACATTTGTATTTTGTAGGTTTAAGGGCACTGGAACTGTTTCAAGTATTATTATTATCTAAAATTTAATGAATACTAAAAAAAAGCAAAAAAAACTATAAAAAACATGTTTTAGAACCAGTCTGTTTTTTTTGCAAAAAAAACACCGTTTTTTTTGGGGTTGCAACTCTAGATAGGAGTCTTGTCTGAACTAAAACTATTGGATAGGGGTCTTGTCTGAACTAAAACTATTGGATAGGGGTCTTGTCTGAACTAAAACTATTGGATAGGGGTCTTGTCTGAACTAAAAGTATTGGATAGGGGTTTTGTTAGGGAGTCAATATCTTTTTTAAATAAAAAGTCATGTTTCAGGATCTACTTAAAGTTAAAGACAAAAATTTGCAAAGTATTTATATTTTACAAAATCTTATCAACTCTATAAAAGTTCGTAAAAATCTGAGTTGACATTTTCCAAATTTTCTGTATTACTTGACTACTTGACAATAAAATTTTTGGAGAAGATTTCATCCAATTGTTATGATTTTTTTTTAGTTATGTCATTGGCGGTATGAGGTTTGGAGAAAAGTTAAAGTTGGTAGAATGCTATGATCAATATTTAGGAAAATGGAAAAGACTTGCCTCCATGAAAAAGTGTCAAGGTGATGTTGAAGCAGCTGTTATTAATGACACTATTTATGTGGCTGGTGGCTCCAGTGGAGGAAAACCGGCTTGTAGGTAAATAAAAGATACTTAATTCTTTATTTAAATCTGTTTTTCAAAACTTCAGAATATTTTAAACTTCATCAGCCATTTAAAAAACCATTTGTGCTACAGACTTTTTTGTGTTGATTTTAAAAAATTAACTTTATTTAGTGTGACAGCCATTATGATTGAAATGATTTATCCTTCATTAAATGGAACAATAATAATAATCAAAATGGTCTTCATTTAGTGTGGCAGTCATAATGATCTATACAATCTTCATTGGATGTGTGACATTACCATTTGATCCATATTAATCTAATATTTTTCAAAAGTTTTTTAAAAATAATGAACTATAAGGACTGTAAACACAAACCTTTTCTAAAGTTTGAAAATTTTTTGAACTTTTACCACCCTACCACTGTTTACCCTTAGCTTGCCCCTACCACCCTATGCTTATGTTTTTGAAAGTTACGTTTGTGCATTAATAATAATAAATAAATATTTACTTGTCAAATAATTTATTATTATATTTTTTGTTAATAAATGTTTATAATCTAAGTTACTTTGCTCCATGTGTTTCTCCATGTATGGCCTCATATATTAGCTTCAATTCTTATTGACTGTTGAGCTTCTCAACTTTTTTTTTTTTGAACTCTTCTTGAGTGTTCAGCTTCTCAAAATATTTTGGTCAGCAAAACATTGAGTTGCTTTGATAGTTAACTGATTGGTTAACTTGATATGAAAAGTTTGCTTTCTGTTATTATTTAACAACTTTTAATCTCTCTTCCTGTTTCCTTCATTTACTAATCGAAATAGAAGATTTTATTGTCCAGTCTTTAATCAATTTTCAAAGATATTTAAAGAACCAAAATATAGGAATTCAAATGACATCAAGTCTTACATTTTTTCCTATCATCCATTAATAATAAATATTTTTAAAAATTAAAATGTATTTGTAACATTTGTAAAAAAAAATATTTATAAATATAATATAATATAATAAAAATATTGATTTATTCAAATTAAAAATAATGAAAATAATTTCTTTAGTCAAAAAAAAAACATATGTAATTTTTTTAAAAAATTTTTATGATAAATCTAATTACTATAATAAATCTAAAGTTAATTACTATAAAATAAAATGTATGAAAATAAAGAGATTTTGTTTTCACTTATTTCATATATTAGACAAAACTTGATATTTAAATTATACTAGTTAGTATACTTTTTCGTAGCATACCAGTAGGTGTAAATTTTGTAATAAACCAGTAGGTGTATATTTTGTAATATACCAGTAGGTGTACATTTTGTAATATATCAGTAGGTGTACATTTTGTAATATACCAATAGGTGTATTTTTTTTTACTTTACCAGTAGGTGTACTTTTTTTACTATACCAGAAGGTGTGTATTTTGTAATATACCAGTAGATGTACTTTTTTTATTATACCAGTAGGTATACATTTTGTAATATACCAGTAGGTGTATTTTTTTTACTATAATGGTAGGTGTACTTTTTGTACTATACCAGTAGGTGTGCTTTTTATACTATACCAGTAGGTGTGCATTTTGTAATATACTAGTAGGTGTACTTTTTCTACTATATAAGTAAATGTACTTTTTGTCAATAAACTTTAGTATAGTTTTGTAATTTATATAAGTAATGATAATTTAGAATAGTGTCTAAGGTTGGCAATTTTTTGCCGACCTTTTTTCTATGTTATAATGGTGAAGCCTGATTTACAATTAAAATTTTATTTTTAATAAATAACAATTTATTTAATACTTACAATATTAGGTATGTTGAAAAATATGATATTTGCAATAACCAGTGGAGTGCAGTAGCATCAATGAAATCTCGAAGACGGCGTTTTGGACTTTGTGAGTATAACTCTCGACTTTATGTGTTTGGTGGGTTTCAGGACAGTTTAGGAGAGTTAAGTGTTTGTGAATCATTCTGTCCTATTACTAATATGTGGGAATCTATTGCTCCTATGAAGACTAATAGATGTGATCTTGGTGTTACTGTTTTATCAGGTGATGTTTTAGTTTATTTTTTTTTTAATTGTTCTGTTGTATTGTTGGAAAATCTCAAAATTTTATTAATTATAAATAGTATCAAAGTAATAAAAAAAAAATTAAAAAGTATTAAAAAATAAATTTATTAATTTATTTTTTAATATTAATATTAAATAAATGTATTAAACAATAGACAATTACTTAATAGCAAATAAATTTATTTCTAGAAGTTTTTGTTTAAATAAGTTTAAAAGATTCATTTTAAGTGATTCTGACTTTGTACCCAGACTCTTTCTGATTTCTACCCAGATTCTCGGTAGTACTATGAATAATTATTTTCTCCTGTGTCTCACGCACAAGTGGTTATAATAAAAAGAATAAAAAAATTAAACAACAACAAAAAAAAAAAACAAGTAGCTTTTTTGACTGTATATAATGTTTCTATAGAAACCAGAGAGTATTAAATGCTTCTATAGAAACCAGAGAGTATTAAATGCTTCTAATACTATGTTTTGACATTTCTTTTGCATGTTTTTGCAAATTACTTTTATTGATTTTATTTTTAATGTTTTTAATTTATTTAAAATTAATTTAGTAATTAGACCTTCTTTTTTTTTATTTCTATAAATATAGATTTTATTTTATTTACTTTTATAAATATAGATTTTATTTATGTTACTGGTGGTGTGAATTCCTATGCTGGCTCTATTTCAACTGTTGAAAAATACGATCCTGCTTTAAACACATGGAGTATGTGTCAACCATTGATTCATGCTCGTGGTGGTCATACAATGGTAACATACTTTGGGCGAGCTGTTGCCATTGGTGGAATGAACAGTTATATGCAAACTTGTAATGATGCTGAATGGTATAATGAGGTATTATACAAAAAAAAAGTGAAATACAATGATTGATTTTATTGCTTGTATATTTTATTTATATTTTGTATAAACAAAGTATTCAATCAATATGTTGAACAAGAGATTAAATAGTCAGAAGTATATTTAAATGCAAACACTTGATAAAGCAAATTATAAAACAAAAATAATAATAAAAGTTGACATCTGATTGGTTGGTCAAAGTTTATTTAAAATTAAATTTTGATAAAATAAAGCAAAAGTTTCATTGAAAACACTTTTTAATGTTTGCTTTTATTCCCTTTTAAGAAGGAATCGATGTAGACAAAAAATTTGAAAAATGGAAAACTATTACCACTTAAAATATTTAAAGATCAACCAAAGGTTGTTAAACTTTAATTTTTAGTTAACTTGCACTAATTTTTTTATTTACCACACTCATGTCTTACCCTGTGCAATTTGTAACATTATAGAATAAGTTTCCAAAAATTTTCCTTTTTATTTGTCATTGTTGTTGTCACCAGTGTTTGTTTGTTTTTTTGCTGTTTTTTTATTTTTAATTGTTTTATTTAGCATTTAACATGCTTGATATTTTGGCTTTTTTTTTTGTTGTTGTTAAAATACATTTCTAAACTCATAAACACATTAAATAAAGATTTCACTTTACAAACAAAAAAATTTATATTATCTTAAAAAAGTTTATATTATATATATTAAATATATATCTAAAAAAGTTTATATTTCTAGCTTCTTCTTTTTTTTTCTTACAACAATTTATGAATGGTATTGACTTTTAAAACTTTTTGTTACACACAAAAATAATTAGTAATAAAATATTTACATACACACTGTTAACAAAACATTTGACAGTAAAAATTTAAGAAAAAAAGTAAATTTTTGGTAGTATTAAACCTATGTTGGGCAATATTGAAGCATATTCATTTATGTGAGATGTACACCCAAGATGGTGCATATCAGACACAGATTAAAAAATTGTTGCTTTTTAACAGTTACTATAAACTTTTCAACAAAAATTAATGAACTTTTATAGAGATATATACAAGGAGAATAAAAAAAAAAATCATCTTATAACCAAAATTTTAATGTTATGTAATAAAACAAAAGTAATCTTATTTAAGTATAAGCACAATGCACACAATTCAAAGTATGCACACTTCACCCAATCAGCCATTTTAAGTTCAAATTAAAGCATTTGGATAAAGAAAAGCATGACTAGCAGACCATTTCTTTTTTTGAGATATTGAGATAACACTCATACGTACATCATATTTTACACCTATTAACACTCATACGTACATCATATCTTACACCTATTATATGTAACACATAAATGCGTTTTGGATATTGGAAGACTGTGGTTTTTCAACAGATATTGGAAACAACATTTGCATCCAAATAAGTTGACTATAAGGTACTATGGGTTTTACAGTGGTTTTAATTTGATGTTCAATAAACAGTTTACGTTCTTGTTAAATATAATTTTCTCCCGTTTTTTTCTTTGGGTTCCCAAGTTAGATTACTTGTGAATTAAGAACAACAACATTAAGCTATTTATAGTAATTTATCATTGGTCACTGCCTGGTATTTTGACTCACAAGAATAAGAAGTACATATTTGATCTGCTATACCATTTACATTTACTACTGCATTTGATTCTTTACTCTGCATTGAGCTCTAACTCGAATCTCAGTTTCATTTGCTCTCTTGGTTGAGAGTTAATATTGCTGTGATTGCAAACTTGAAGCAGGAACAACAAAAACCAAAACTATAAAAATTATCCACTAATTAAAAAAAAAAACATTTGAATTTGTATGAGCCAATATGGCTTACACAAATTTAATTCTATTTGTTGCCATATTTAAGCCATTTTTTTCTTTAGCTCTTTATCAAAATTTAGACAAGTGAGTGTCTTGAACTATTTAAGTTTTATAACAAACCTAAATTTTTCAATACTGTCACCAATGACCTTTCTAATTTGCTCTATATTCTGCTAGATGTTATAATCCAATTAACCCTTCTACTTCAACTGTGTCAGTGGGTTTGTGGGTCTTAATATCTCTCTGTGGGTGGGCTTATTATCTCTCTGTGGGTAGGTTGGTGTGTCTTGATATCTCTCTATGGGTGGTTGGGTAGGTGGGTTTAATATCTTTGATGGAATTAGTATAAAGATTTATTTATGTGACAATCAACTCAAGTATTTTGTCAGTAAATAAATTATTTTAAATTCAAAATTTTAAATAAATATTTAAATTTATTGCATTTTTAATGATTCTAGGAAAGTGAAAGTGATTTCAGGAAAGGGAATGCAAAAGTGATTCACAATTACTTAGTGACTTACAATGTTGACTTACAATGTTGACTTACAATATTTTTTTGCTACATAAAATTTTTTTGTTGTTTTACCCATAAAAAATGTTTATTCTAGTTCTTCTTCATATTATTATTTTCAAATTGATCCATCAATTAACTATGAATAAATTGATCCGTCAATTAACTATGAATAAATTGATCCGTCAATTAACTATGAATAAATTGCTTAAGTTTATCTTCAGAGTCTATGTCACTCTCTTCTGTGACTTTTTCCTCAAGTAGCTTGAATCATTAAATCAATACGCTGTTAAACTTTTCTTAAAAAAATAGTACATAACAAGATTTTGCACAGTGTGCATGTTATTCCATTTATAATTTTTTTTTTTTTTTTTAATTATTCACAAAGTTAGTATTACTATATTTTTATATAAAATAAGCAAAATAAACAGTTCTGATTCAAAAATTACCTCAAAAATATTTATAAAAAAAACATTGGATGCAATGAGTCTATTAAAACACACTGGTTGATTAATGTTCTTTTTGTTACCATTTAAGGAGGGTTTCTTAGTATCTTAAATTCGATTATTCTAAAATTTCTCCAGCATAGACAAAGTAATAAAAAACTGAAGCCTAGCCTATTATTGCATCTGATGTTTGTTTTAGATTTTGTTTTTTTTTGTGTAAATCTTTCTTACAGGTTCTATGGGCTTTTCCACTGCAAGTAATGCAGTGCATAATCATACAATCTGTAACTCAGTAATAATAATTAAATCTATCATCAGAATTTGTTTGTTTCAAATTTATTCAAATTAAGTTTTATAAACATTTTACTTTAAGTGTTGTTTGTCTGTTTTTGCATTTTTACTCCATCGAACTTTTGATTAAATATATAAAATTCACTTTTTTGAATGACACAAAAAAGTGAATTTTATATATTTAAGTTTATTATTACAAAAGATTTTTAATAATCAAAATCTTCCTCTTTTTTTTCAAAAATTAACCAATAATTGATTGTTGATGGTCATTTTGAACTGTTTTGCTTCCAATAACTTTACTAAATTTACAATAAAATTTACTGAAGAATTTAAACTATTAAATAAACAATAATTATTCTAAATATAAAAAAATGTAAACTATCAATACATAAAACATAATCATAAATAATAATTATAAAAAAATTTAAACTATCAATACATAAAACACAATCATAAATAATAATTATAAAAAATTTAAACTATAATATGATCAAAAATCTTTTTTATTACTTTTAAGTAACAAACATTTTCAAACAAAATATTTTTATTTTTAAGTTTTATTTTGTATTAAATTTAATTTACAAATGCAATAACTTAAGTTATTGCATTTGTAAATTATAATATCATATAAATGATCATTTACTATACAAAACTAAAGTTAGATCTTAAACTTAATTTGCATGTCTTCCTTAGTTTGATAAAAGCTCTTCCATTTCTCACAAGTAATTTCACCTCCCTTATAAGGGAGGTCTTAATTGACATCTGCAAATAGTTCTTCACTATTTATCATTTTGAAGTTGATTCTGATCAGGGGGTTTGTATTACCTGTAATAACTTTCAAGACAGATTTATTTGTAGTTGCTTTTTATGTTACTACTTAAAGTATAAATTGCTTTAAATTTTGATTAAATTTATTTCAAAAAAAAAATGAAAGTATTTTTAAAAAACTAAAAGCAGATAAAAAGTATCATTAATATAATTAGAACAATTAAACACTTAGCATTTAATTTTGACTTTTTTTCGTGGTCTTTTTTTAATTTTAACTTTTTTAATGGTTTTTTAAACTTTTTTAATGGTTTCAAGTGTTCATTTCTTAATATGAAATTTTTGGTCTTAGTTAAAAAACTTTCAAAAAAATAATTCTGTTAGTATGCGTAAAGATAATCATGTTAATTGAGTAATTTAATTCTCTCTTAATTTTCTTTATTTAAGTAAAATTAAATAAAAAATTATATTTATCAAACAAAAACATTTTGACAGATATTAATGAAGGGGTTTGATTTTAACTTGAGTTTTTTTATTTAATTTTAATGTAATCTTATTATATTTTATATATCCTATTACATATTATATTTTATATAGATAATGCTGTGTATTTATAAGTGATCATAATTTGTATATATATATATATATATATATATATATATATGTATATATATTATATATATATATATATATATATATATATATATATATATGTATATATATTATATATATATTATATATTGTATAATCAGGTGACTGATCAATGGTCTACGCTACCGTTAATGAACATGCCCCGTTTTGGTGGAGTTGGCATTGTTCTTCCCTTTTGCAAGCAAATATCAGGTTATAAAGAAAATCGTGATGAAAATGGCTGATAATAAAGTAATTACTACATGAAATTGTTTGCTATTTATACAGACATTGTAAATATCTATATAAACATTTGTTATACAAACATTGTAAATATTCTTCTCAAAACTACAGATATTTATTGATATATAATAACTTAACAAACTTCAGAACTCTAATGACGATAAGCACTTTTATATGTAGATAATCCCTTTTATGTCCGCATAAAATTTTTTGTAAATATATAACTTATTTATCTCTAAAGAAATTTTTATAAATTTAAAGTTTTTTAATTTTTTGTGATTCTTGATACAACCAGTGGCGCCAATTGCATTTTTTAGTCTTTTAAATAGCTAACTTTCAAACTCCAAATATTTCTATGTTTATGTCAAATAAGGATGCTTTGCAAAAAATTTGCTTGGGAACAAAAATGCCCTAAAATTTTGGCCCCCCTTGCTCCAAACGTGAGAGCAACAAGTTGATGAAATATTTTTTTTACTATTTTCAACTAGACTTATATTCATCGATAAATTTTAAGTTTCATTTTATTATATCTCAGCGTTCAAAAAGAATGATCATATAAAATCTGCAACCCCCTCAAATTGAGGGGGTTTAAACCATAAATTTTGAAAGCTAAAATATTTTACTATGATTGAGGCAGGGGGGCCAAAATTTTAGGGCTTTTTTGTTCCCAATTTCCAATCATCGCAATTTTTTGCAAAGCATTCTTATTTGACATAAGTATAAACATATAAATGTTTGGAATTTGCTTTATGTCTGGGACTTGGATCTCGAAGACCAAAAAAATGCAATTGGCGCCACTGGATACAACTGCTCTCGATCTTCCCTTTTTTTACAAAAAAGATTAGTTATGATACAATTGACATTTGTTTTAACAATTAACATTAAATTACATATCGTTGCCTCAGAGCAAAAATGTTCTATCTACAAGTTTTGAAAAATTGAGATGAACGTGTAGATAAAACACTATCCGTATTAATTTAAAGAAAATATTTTGAAATAAATATAAAGTATTGAATTATTATTAATTTCTGAGAAAATCGTTTTATTATAAGTAGCAAAATTTTGATTTCCTCCGTGCAAAAATGTTCTATCTACGTGCTTGTTATAAGTTCGTATCTATAATGATATTACTGTGTCTGATGCATGTGTATTTAATTATTCTACGTTTACAAATTTTTCTTAGTGAGACATTTTCAATAAAACGTCCGTTTATAATATTTAAGTACAATAATATTAAATAATAAATAAACAATTATTAAATAAATAATTTGTACCAATACTTAGTAATGTATAATAATGTATATTATCGTATATTATCTTTAACACAAAAACTGGTGAAGAATGTTACTTTATTAACAAAAATGACAATGAAATAAAATAACGTGTTGGCTAAATGAAAGTGGTAGGTTTTAAATACATTTTCTTATCAAAACCTATCACTTCAATTTTGGTCAACACGTTAATCATTAATGCATTACGCGTACCGCTTAAAATCGATAATATTAGCCAATAATAAATTTCTCTTGTTAACAATGACATAATGCTTTGACTTAATAATACAATGTATTATTGTATGAAAATAATAATTCTCAACAGATTTGAATCATAACTGATTAAGAATAATTATAATGTTAAAAAGTATTATGTCATAATATTTTTTAACATTATAATTATTCTTAATCGGTTATGATTCAAATCTGTTGAGAATTATTATTTTCAATTTTTAGTTAAGTTTACAAAAGAAACGACTTTCTTACGGAGAACATAATTGTGAGAAGTAAGTGGTTTACGGAATGGAAGCAAGACAATTATTGGAAGCTTATTATAACAAAAGAGACTATAGTAATGGTGATAACAATGAAGAGACGTTAGATTCTAACGCAGATGCTGAAATTTCTGTCGAAGCAATAGCAAGTTCGGATTGTAATAGAATGCAAGTCTCAAAATGTTATTTCAACGCAAGCGATGAGGAGCCTAGTTGTACCAGTGAAACTACCAATGTTGCTGAAAATGAAACCGACAGTATAGTTATTTTGAATAGTGATAACACCTTTCCAGTATTGAAAAAGAACATTGAAAATGAAATGACTGTGCTAAAAAAAATCGAGAAAAAGACTCAAAAATGTAAAGACATGGAAACGCTTTAAGCAAAGTAGTGAATACAATGTTGGTATACTTCACCGAAAGTCAAGTAAGGAAAATGGCCAGAAAAGAAAAGTTCGCGGTCAATGCGCAAATATGAAATGCAAGAAAAATTGTGCTCAAAAGATAGACCTCAACACCCTCGATATTTCTGCTGCTATGGTTCAGCAAACATTGAAACAATCAGTCACAGGAATAATAGCTAAAAAACCTAAGCGAATAGCAGCGAACAAAACAACTGATGATAAGCTTAGCGGAGTTCGAAAACATATTGAAAAGTTTCCTTGTATTGAAAGCCATTACTGCCGATTATTCAGTACTTGTGAGTATCTGGAATCGATATTGTCAATACAGAAAATGTATGAATTGTATAAACGAAAATGTGAGATGGAAATGATCAGCTCCGTTAAAGAAAATGTTTACAGGAATCTATTCTTGACTGAATATAATTTGAAATTTCATGCACCAATCAAAGATGCGTGTGATACGTGCAGTAGAATGGAGATGAAAAAGATTGTTTGCGGTGGTGTGCTTCCCTCTGACGATGAACATAATTTGAAGATGCATTTATTGAGAAAAGAGCAAGCGAGAGATACCAAAAACAAAGAAAAAGAAAATCCGTCTCCTTTTAATGTTTGCGTAACAATGGATTTACAACAAATTTTAACAGTTCCTAAACTTGCTGTTGGCAGCCTATTACTTAAGAAAGCTAAATATGTATAATATGACTGTGTATGATATTGTATCTAAAGAAGGGTTTTGTTACACGTGGACAGAACATGATTTTGCCAGAGGTGCAAATGAAATTAGCTCATGCGTTTTTAAATACTTATGTGATATGGATATGAAGCTAAAGAAACAAATTATAATGTATAGCAACACATGTGCGGGTCAAAATAGGAACCGTGTTATTAGCACCATGATTTTGCTATTTCTACACAGAAGTGCTCATGTTGATATTGTTGGACAACGGTTCTTTGAGAGTGGACACTCGCAGATTTAGTGTGACTCCATTCACAGCTCCATTCAAAAAAAGTGTAGTAAAGAAGATATTTACTTGACATCGCAATACCAATCACGCATCAGAGTTGCTAGAGCTAAACAGCCTTATTCAGTGCAAACCATGGACAAGAGTAACATTTTTGACTTCCAGGCAATAAATACGCTGTACTGCAAAGCCAATGCATTCAGTGGAATTATAAATAAACACCACATTATTTACACAAAAGAAATAAATAATTCCAATGTAAAAAATGTGCGGATTACTTTTTCTGATCACATTTATGGTGATAATATGTCTGAAGTTAGTTATAAAAAACGTGAAAGAAATATTAATTTTCAAACCTGTGAAATTCCATTTGCTTATGTCGATGTTGCTGGTATTGATTCAAATAAGAAGGATGACCTCTTAAAACTTTGTGCATTTATTCCAGCTGATTGTCGACCTTACTATGAAAGTCTGGTAACTAAGCTTCCAAAATGCAGTACAAGAAATTCTAAAGAACTTGACATCGACGAACATTGCTCTATGGAAATTCGTTAGTTCACCAGCCAGATTTGATATTTGGACCATTTTTTAATCTATTCTGTTTAGATGTTTAATGTTTAATGTTCGCAATTAACATGCACTTTAATTAATTCTATCAATAATAGCTTAGCTTTCATATTTTCGATATTTTTTTTGTTTTTATTACGGACCATTTTGATTATTTTAATATTTTTGTAGATAGAACATTTACGTTTTTATAACAAACTACAAAAATTTGAGAGCAAAATAATTCTATCTGAACATTTTATGCCACAAACCATTATTACTTAGTAATTTAAAATATTGCAACCCGTGCTTAAATTACTTTCACTTAGTAGCTTCTACCTACCTAATACCGTAATTCACGGAATGTCACCTGGATTTGTGATATCTAAACTAAGTTTGTTTTCATTGCCCTGAAAAATGCAAATTTTGTAGATAGAACATTTTTGCTCCGAGGCGACGATATGATCATTAAGATTTCATCTAATTGTCTAACAAATGTCATTTATTATCAAATTTTTTTAAAGATTACTTTTAACTCTTGATTGTTCATTGCTCAACTGTCATTATTTTAATTATTTCTTTATGTTTTTATCCTTGAATGATAGAATTTACAGCTTTTAAAGTCTTCCGTGGACCCTTATTTTTTTCTTTAACAATATTCTTTGTTTACTGGTAACTTACAACAACTTTCAACTACTGGTATCACGTAACCCAGTACCACCTGCCACAAGCCCTGCTGCTTTGCAGTGTGCTCTTCTTAGGCAAAGGCTAGGAGAAATAAACTCCGACTAAAAATTCCCCTACCTTGGGGCTCTTGGTTAAGTAAAGGCTAGAGATGGTGTCTCGATAAAAATACTCATCTTGGGCAGATGTTAACTGCATCCAGCTACTGTCTTGTAGAAGGCCTCCTAGGCAAAGACTTAAGGGGTAAGCAGAAAAACTCTGCTAACCAGCCTCGAACCCCTTCTTCATCTATTAGGCTGGCGTAGATATAACCTGTGTTACATTGTTTCCTGCCTAGGATGATGAATGCTGGATCTCCTTGACTCTACTCACAGAATTTTGCCTATGCCTCCTTGATAATGGCTATGCAACTCTTCCTGTTATCTCCATATGAGGGTACAGCTCTAAAACTCAGTTTAATGGTTCTGAGGCCGGCTGGTAGTAAGGTTTCCCGAACTCTGTGGTAGCTCTCAGAGAGGCTGATTCCATCAACAGCTGCAAAATATCAGAGTGTTAACAATGCCATGTTGCGCATGGATGGTGTCTCTGTTAATGCTTTTGGTGTGCATTGTCAAGGCCACATAAGGATCCCTATGTCACGGCTTAGGGTTAATTAACAGGACTGAGACAACTGCATAGCTCATTGATTAGGAGGCTGTGCTCTATCTATGAATGAGTCAAGTTCTCATTAAACCCAAATCATGGCCAAAGTAACCAAAAATTTAAAACCTAAAAAACCATCCCCACTACCTAAACGTTTTAATATATCTTTTACAAGTATTCGCGGTCTACAAAGCAACTTTCCGTCAGTTGAGTCTTACCTCCTGCAAAATTCACCAGACTTGCTTGCACTCAGTGAAA